ATGGAAGGATGTGAGAAGCAAAAACAAAAGAAAGTGAATCCCTTCATTGGCTGAATGGACGGTCACAAAATATGAACAAATTGAAGAAGAAACAGGTACGAATAGCCCAATACTTTGTAGGTACGAATTATAATTGACTTGTGAAACCTACCTACACTCGACGTGCGTACCTACCTACTGTACTTGTGAATCAATTGCCGACCTGTTTCGCCGGCACCGGGCACCAGGCACCGGGGCAAAGAGCACAGTACTTATAGAAGACTTGAGAATTCAAGGTTGGCGGGGATTTACCGATCGGGTATTGCACAGTTGTATAACATAACCGCCCTGGAGCCGCCCATACCTATCTATTTTATCTACCTAGGTAGCTGGAGTACTTTGTTAATTTCGCCCCGCCATATCTATACAGTAAACCAAATCCCCAGTTGAATGGAGTAAAAGAATCCATATTATTCATTGGCATAACCAATTAAATTAGTACAATTATTGAAATCGGTGGGGTTTTCCGTCTTACATTCTCGGGATAACTCGCGTTCATCAAACACCAAGGTTGACGTAGTTGAGGTAGGGGAAGCTTTCTGCGTGCATTGGTGCATTGGTCGGCCTCAACGCTAGCGGGTCTACGACCATTTTTTCCGTCCGCGAGCCGGAATCTGTTCTTAAATTTCTATTCTACCATACCTACATTCTTGCATTTCTACTGCAATACTACACATCTCTCACGATGGCATCCCTTCGTATTGGTCAAACCGCTCTTAGAGCATCTATGAGAGCTCCAACATTCGGTGCTAAATCCGCCGCCTTCAATGGCTTGCGATGCTATTCATCGAAGACTCAGGTATATTCCAAACTTTTCTCCATGCGGTACAAATCAGCTTTAACTGACTATTCTTCTTTCTAGACTTTGAAGGAGCGTTTCGCCGAGCAACTTCCAGAGAAGATTGAGCAAATCAAGGCTCTCCGCAAGTAAGAAATATCTTATCGATTTCAAAAATCGACACCCACTTTGCATCTACACATACTTATTTTCGCAGGGGTTATGGAAACAAGGTCATCGGCGAGGTTACTTTGGACCAAGTTTACGGTGGTGCTCGTGGTATCAAGTCATTGGTTTGGGAAGGTTCAGTCCTCGACTCTGAGGAGGGTATCCGTTTCAGAGGAAAGACTATCCCAGAGTGTCAGGAACTCCTCCCAAAGGCACCAGGTGGACAAGAGCCTTTACCAGAAGGTAAGACCTCATATGACGCCCGCTATTATGCGCAATCACTAATTTAACCAAGGTCTTTTCTGGCTCCTTTTGACCGGTGAAGTTCCAAGCGAACAACAAGTTCGTGATCTCTCTGCCGAGTGGGCCGCTCGTTCCGATGTACCAAAGTTCGTCGAAGAGCTCATCGACCGATGCCCAAGCGATCTCCATCCAATGGCACAATTCTCCATCGCTGTCACTGCTCTCGAGCACGAGTCCGCATTCGCCAAGGCTTATGCTAAGGGAATGAAGAAGACCGAGTACTGGGGTCACACTTTCGAGGATTCCATGGATTTGATTGCCAAGCTCCCAACTATCGCCGCTAGAATCTACCAAAACGTCTTCAAGGGCGGTAAGGTCGCTGCTGTCCAAAAGGACAAGGATTACTCTTTCAACTTTGCCAACCAGCTCGGATTTGGCGAGAACAAGGACTTCATTGAATTGATGAGATTGTACCTCACCATCCACACTGATCATGAGGGTGGTAACGTTTCTGCTCACACTACTCACTTAGTCGGATCTGCTCTCAGTTCCCCAATGTTGTCCCTCGCTGCTGGTCTGAATGGTCTTGCTGGTCCTCTTCACGGTCTCGCCAACCAAGAAGTCTTGAACTGGCTCACAAAGATGAAGGCTGCTATTGGTGATGATCTCAGTGATGAGGCCATCAAGAACTACTTGTGGTCTACTCTTAACGCCGGCCAAGTCGTTCCAGGTTACGGTCACGCCGTTCTCCGCAAGACTGATCCCCGTTACATGGCTCAGAGAGAATTTGCCGAGAAGCATTTGCCATCGGGTAAGTTTAACCGAGCACGTGATTTAAAATTTTCAACTCTAACAATATAACTTACAGATCCTATGTACAAGCTTGTCAGCCAAGTTTATAAGATTGCTCCAGGTGTTCTCACTGAGCATGGCAAGACCAAAAATCCGTTCCCGAACGTAGATGCCGTGAGTGATATATTGAATCTAAAGATATATAGTTCAATAACTGACGTTTTTCATAGCACTCTGGTGTCTTGCTCCAATACTATGGTTTGACTGAGGCCAACTACTACACCGTTCTCTTCGGTGTTTCCCGTGCCATTGGTGTCTTACCACAATTGATCATCGACCGAGCCGTCGGTGCCCCAATTGAGCGCCCCAAGTCCTTCTCCACCGAGAAGTGGGCCGAGATCGTTGGAGCCAAGTTGTAAAAAGGATATCAAAAGAATAGTGAGGAGGTACACTCGGTGGTATACGTACGAACGCCCTAAACTAATGACCAAAGGTGTAGACTGGATAGAGCCAACCATTATAAAACTGTAAAATCATTTTTTCAAGAAGTTGCAGTAAAGGAAACCTAGAGCAGGAATACGTACTCATACTTCTTCTCATGATGATTCAGTGTATAATATAATGATTTGCTTTTACTAGAAGAACAAAGACGAAGAGACTCCATTATCAATCTGGTATATCATGCATTCTGTTGCTTACTGACGTGTGTCTCGTGCCCTTCACATTCGAAGTACACACAAACATATATGCGAATTAATTCCACCATTCCATTCTGACCAATGATTCAAATTTACTGGGACATTCAATCTCTTGCAGCATCAACCTCTCTCAACTACAACTCTTAACCTAGACATAAAAACGCGGACCAAAGCGATCCAATACCCAATCCATCTCAATCCGCATCCAGATATAAATATCAACATCCTCCCAACTCTATCGTTCGACCCTGAGTAGACATCTCACTTACGCATCTTGTTCGCGTTGTATCACTCTCGAGTCGTTACTAATCTTTCATCAAATTGATTTATTTCATTGATGGTTGTCAGTCGGTACGACGCTTCATGAATGCATTTTGATGTACGTGAACATAAATAAGAAGACCACCCCTGAAATTTGGCACTGGGGTTGGGAATTTTCTGCTTGGTATTAAGATTGGGAGGTTTGGGTTGGAAGGATGTGAGGGTTATGGACGCTTGAGTTTATGAGGTGGTTTGGGATACTGTGGATTTTATGGAGGGCAGGGGAGGGTTTATTGCGAGTTCTGTGGTGGAGGTTGTGGATTTTTCTACAAATTTATTTATAGCTTGCGAGGATACTCTTGGGCTGGGGTGGATGATGGATTTGGTATATAAATGAAGGAAAAGGGAGGAGAGAGCGGAGAGTCAGGACTTCAAATATTTTGATGACGGGTTGATGAATTTTTGATATTGAGGGTAGAGATATGAGAGCGATGGTTTGGAGAATTGAGGACAGAAATCAAGTGCAGTATTGGTTGGGGGTTGTCAAAAAACAAACGGGTCGGAATTATGAACTTAATTGGGTTTGTAAATCAATCACGAATTGAAGCATAAAAATTGAGAATAGTCAATGAAATTTTAGCTTCTATTTGCCATATGGGTTTTTACAAAATGTATTTATCATAAGAGTTGAAAGCAAGAAGTGATTGTAAATACCTAGGTACTTTTCAAAAGTCCTCGAATTCAGCCTGGCATTTCGGCTACGTAGAGGGGAGGGTTTAGACGAATCTAACAAGTCAAGAGAACAGGCCGGTGTGGTACTATGTTTTTGCTACCTTGGTACTTGGCCCTTTGAAAATAGAAATAATTTCACCAGCTTGTGAAGGAAACCACAGTCCTGAAACATAAACATGTTGGGGAAACCGAGTGAGATCCTAACAGTGTACGGAGAGTCGTTCAGAAAGTAAGGGATGTGCTATGGCGCTTCATAGATAAAGGTCGTCGTCATCTCGCATCGCACAACTGATCGTCTAAGAGTGTCTGATTTCAATTAACTCACCTATCACTCGTTGCAGAAATTGGTGATGAGATCATCCAAACAAACGAAAAGTGTGAGTTGGAATCGAACAATGTTCGAGTCAAGGATGCATACAAAACACTCGAGTAAGTTATACTTATTGTTGACAACAAGATGTCGTACTAGCAAGCCGATCAATTCAGCTCGAGACTTCATCCAAAGAAAAAAGCAATATTGATACTAGATATTACAGACCGCTTTGAACTTCGGACCGGACTTCCCCAATGAATCAACAACACAACACATGCAATTCGTTGAGCTTGCACTTCTCAACAAATGGCCGAGGCTTCCAAGGTTGTTCCATTCTTTTTCTTTAGGGTTGCCCGAATGGTGTTTAGTAGGCTTTATATAGCAGAAGACCCTCCTCTGTAGGAAAGAAATAAGGTTGTGAACTTGTTCAGTGTACACTATATATACAACGATTGACAGGTGGACCACCAGTGGACATTTGTACTGTTTGTGATTACTACTGTATCTGTATCGGGAAGGCTGGGCCCGAGTATGATTGATAGAGAAGAGAAGTCTAAAACAGAATGCATCTTGGAAGCATTCATTCACGACCAAGACTTTCTGCTGACCACGATTCATTCATTATCTTGGAGTACTCGAGTAGAGAATGTGATGATCAACAATGAAAATTTTGCCAATCGAAATAGCACAGTACAAACAATAGAGTGGTTTCCTTACAGTAATTTGTATATAATTTCCTACTAAGTTAGGTAAACTCGTTCTTTTATTGCTTTCTTCACCTTCACTCCAAATACGTTTTCAGCATTATCAACAAATTCCCACTTACCCCTGCATCTTATCGGGCCCCGATACCGAGCACCACTCCAAAAATTAGGGTCCACCTGGTCTTTCATTAGCTTCCTATCTTTCGCGAGCACTTGCGGCGGATCAGCTAAGCTCTCCTTTCAACAAACACACATATCTCTTCTCCCTCCCTCTCCTTCCCTTTCCCTTTCCCTTTCCCTTTCCCTTCCTTCCATTCACCAAGTCTTCCTTACTTAGCTACTTTCCAACAACAACCCTCAATCTCACCACCCTTTCCTTTGCGAAGAAGCAACCTATTCCCTTGGTCAGGGCCCCAGTACAAACACCATCTACCTTATCATGTCCGCTGTCACCGCCAAAATGCCCATCGTCGGCAAACCAGCCGTTCCAGAGAAGAAACCCGTCAAGTTCTCCAACTTGCTTTTGGGTGCCAGTTTGAACTTGTTCGAGGTTACCACTTTGGGTCAACCGTTGGAGGTTACAAAGACTACCATGGCTGCTAATAGAGGGGATACTTTTGCAGGTGCTCTGGGTAGAATTTGGAGTAGAGGTGGTGTTCTTGGATGTACGTATCTCCTTCCTTTGACGATTCTCTTGATTTCCATGTCGATCCTATTCCATGATATGATTTATGCATTCTCCTTAATATTCCCCATCTGCAAGAATAACAGCTAATGATAACCCCACTACAGTCTACCAAGGACTCATTCCATGGGCATGGATCGAAGCTTCCACCAAAGGTGCCGTTCTTCTCTTCGTCGCCTCTGAAGCCGAATGGTACGCTCGTTCTTTCGGTGCTGGTGATTTCACCGCCGGTATTAGTGGAGGTGTAATTGGTGGTGTTGCTCAAGCATATGCTACCATGGGATTCTGCACCTGCATGAAGACTGTCGAAATCACCAAGACCAACATGGCAAAAGCTGGTGTCAAGCCTGACGGTACCATGACCACCTTCATGAACATCTACCGCAAAGAAGGTATCAAGGGAATCAACAAAGGAGTCAACGCCGTTGCTATTCGTCAAATGACCAATTGGGGAAGTAGATTCGGATTGAGTCGATTGGCAGAAAGTGGTATTCGAAAGGTTACTGGCAAGGGCGAGAATGGAAAGTTGAATGCTTGGGAGAAGATTTTGGCAAGTGGACTGGGTGGTGGATTGAGTGCTTGGAATCAACCTATCGAAGTTATTCGTGTCGAGATGCAGAGTAAGACGGTGGATCCTAACCGACCTGCCAAGATGACAGTTGGCAATACCCTCAAGTACATTTATAGTCAGAATGGAGTTTCGGGCTTGTATCGTGGCGTTGTTCCTAGAATTGGGTTGGGCGTTTGGCAAACTATTTGTATGGTTGCTATGGGTGATATGTAAGTTCTCTCCCCTTCCAACATCCCTTCACTACTTCTCAATATCTTTCCAAGCAAAACAAATACTAACACAAAATCAACAGGGCAAAAGCTTATGTCGAGAAATTGACGGGTGAAAAGGTCACCGCTAAGCATTAAGGCGTTTTGGGGATACCTTGCTTGCATGCATACACACATATCTGGCATTGGTTTGGTTCTTCTGATTCTTGCATGGAAGCTTGCTACGATCTTCTCAGAATAAGAGTAGAGGAAATGAGTTTAATGATCTGATATACGATGAGTGCGATTGCCACTGCAATGCGAATTAATAGACTATTTTCGGGTGGTAGATGGATGATATGATGGCGAGTGTCTACATGCGCAGACGAAGTTAATTGAAATAAGGGTTTTCAATATGCATTTATGTCTTTATATGTCTGTTGATTGTATTAATGATTGTTCTTGTCGTCGTGCTTGTGTTCTTTTAGCCTTTCGCCTCTTTGCATTTGGATTCCTTGTTGATGAGGTCATAGTGACTTTCGGGTCTTGAATATATGAACTACCTACTAGACAGATAGGTGACTTCCTGATACTCTTTTTTAAGATTGGATGTGTTTTATCTCGAAGTTGTTTGGATGGGATGGGGTGGGTGGTTAGCTAGGACTAGGAGTGGGATTGGGAATGGAAATGGGGAGAAGATGCTAGTGTGAGGACAGGGTTGAAGATGCATCTATGTAAATGTATATGTAAGAGGAATGATGGGTGATAAGGGCCCAAGATAAGAGATACGAGATGGAAAGAAAGGAGAGTTTAAGAATTTTCCTGTGGATTGTTTGTTTGTTTTCTTCTAGACTCGGGGAGGGATTGAGGATGAGGGGAGTGTAAAACTGTGTGTTTCTCGGTTTTGAAGGAGGACGGGGAAGAGGGGAAGAGGGGAAGTTGAGTGAGGGAGATGCTAGATACTAGATTATGAATGCTGCATAGAAGATATGAATTGGAGAGTAGTAATGGAATAAGAGTGTTATGTCTTGTGTGGATTTGGATTATTGAGATTTGGTGAGTTGTGTGTTTTTAATGGGGTTTCTGTAAGGATGGGGGACTGGGGATTGGAGATTGAGAAATTGGGAGATCTATGTAGATTCTAGAGGAGTCAGAGAGAGAGAGAGAGAGATTGTGGGTGTTTGGTTGGTTTGAGCTTTGAGGTATGATGGGTTGGATGGGATGAGTTAATGGGATGGGTTAATGGAATGGGATGTTGAGCCTTGGGGTTGGAAATGGATGGATGATGGATGATAAATGATAAATGATGGGAGAATATGTCAGCGGAGGATAGGTGTTGTGATGTGAATCTTGAATCTTGACAGCATTAAGTTGGCAAAGTTGAAGGGCATTTTCTCGAGTATGATATGGTATGATATAGGGGGTTTGCTTTTGGGAGGAGGGGTAAAAATTGGAATGTATGTGTTTTGTATGTTGGGATTGTATTTGTGTTCTGGATGAGTGGTGAGTAGTGAGAGATGGAATATGGGAAAGCTCATAATGTTTCCTGTGTTACTGGTAGGTATATCGGTCATGAATGCATGATATATCTTTGGATCAAATCATTACTCGCTTCATCTAAGTATCTCTGAAGACACTGGAGGTGGAAATGCGCATGCTCTTATGAATATTTTTCTTATAGTATTTATTAAATGAAGACTATGAAGTATGACTGCGCAATCAGCTTGATTAACTGAAGTACGTAACTAGTCGGTATACATGCAATCGTCAAAAAGCATTTTAATTTTCTATATAACCCTACAAAAGGAAAAGTGTTTACGTCAAAGAATTTAAAGCAAATTTCATTACAAATAGTTTGTCCTGTTTGATCTAGATAGGGTACTTAGGAGTTTGCCCACTCCCCTAGCTAAACGAACCGTACAAATAGCCGATGAGGCGAAGTAGGGGATTGTTGGTAAGATACAGAAGCGTAAATGTCTCTAATGTTAATTTTCATGTCGATAGAGCTTTTATATTATTACAGAATCTCATCAACCAACAGGATGTTTGTGTATTGGATGAAATAAACAAACGGAATCTGATAGGTATTTGCGGAAATGCATCAATGCTTTTCGTATTTCCTTTATTAAAAATATCCTGCGATACAAGAACCAAATACTATTCCTGATTGTAATTGACAACAATGCTAAGATTCGATAACCAATGGGATTGTTGGTGTCATGAAAGACAATAGTTATAAGTTATAAGGATTTTTAGAGTATACGAGTAAAGTGTGTTGTGAAAGAGTTGTCTTCCATAATCAAGAGTAAGGGAAAACGTGATTGGAAGAATAAGAATCGTCTGCCCGAGCTAGAGGAAGATCTTGCAGACGGCGAGACGTAGGTGAAAGTGTAAGAGTATAGAACCTAAGGTGCTGGAGCTAATCAGCAAAATGATGCGGATGAGAAATGCCCACAAGCCTGCAGTGTCTTGGTATTGGAGGCCTGTAGAACACAGATTGCTAATAAGGAGAGTGAGCAGAAATTGTGGAAAGCTTCAGTGATGAAGATGTATTGAGAGGAGAGAAAAATGCTATACAATTCAATGTTATACTACGAGTAGAGTTGGTAAACAGATCTTTGTTCGAGGCAAGCTCAGACTGGCTTCGATATCTCTTGCTACACAGGAGAACGAATATTAATCTTCATTAAGTTTTCATAATTAGGTTATTGACATTAGGCACAAACATCATGGTGGACTTTAACCGCTGACTATGTGTCCTCTGCTCATTGGTAATGTTACAGTTACACAATATAGGTCATTGAATTATCAAGTCACTACCTTTCACATTTTCTCCTGGATTCAGTATAGCATCGACGAACACGTTTCTATCAGATAAAATCACCTACTGCTTCTCATTTGCCCGACCTTAGATCTATAGTGTAGCTATGGGAGTCGACGGTGGTTTTGATATATATCCTCGTCTATCTACAGGCATCGTAGACAGACACAACTGGGGACGATTTATCGATTTCGTCAAAGAGCGTTACAAAGATGACACTCAGGTCGAGGTAGAGCCAAATTACATCATCTCCAAAGCAGGGGAACACCCCCAACTTCCATTCGAGGGCCACAAATTTCTGCATTTTAGCTCAAAGGTATCGGGGTCTATCGCAGCAGATACGGATGTAGAGAGCTATATCGACACTGTGACACGTATGGCACAGGCAAACTTCGGTTCTCGTACCTGGTAATGGCACGAGGGTGCCGATTAGTCTGGCGTCTACAACTGGACTGAAGTCCAAGAATCAATCAGGTCTTATGAGCAGGTCGGTGGTGCCTCCCCGATGTCGTGTCTGTACTTGATAAACAATCTTTGACACCTGAGTTGTAGCGAGATGAACCTGAGACTCCGTACAGCATTTCCCAATTCCTTAGTGGCACCGATACTATCGTAGAGCTGGGCATTGCGCCTTTTGAGATTAAGCAGATCCTCGGAAAAGGTAAAGGTCTCGTTGCCCGTTTCAACATATCTAAGGGCACTCGAATCATTTGTGAGAAGCCGCTTCTTAAAGGTAGGCAGGCCTATGCCTCGTGATGAGCTAGAGGGATTTCTAGCGACAAAGTTGAATGCCATATCCAGAGAGTCACAGCGACAGTTCCTGTCTCTTCATAACAACTTCCGGGGGAAGAACCCATTTAGCGGCATCTTCAAGACGAATGCTTTGCCATACGGCTCTGGGTCGCCCATAGGTAGCGTCTATCCAACATTGTGCTTAATAAACCACAGTTGCATGCCAAACGCTCACAATAGCTGGAAGAGCGCCAAGGAGCACGAAACTATTCATGCAATCCGATCGATCGAGAGAGGAGCTGAGATCACAATACCGTACGATCGTGGCGATGTGTCAAGCCAATGGCAGGCATTTCTTGAAGAAAGCTTTGGTTTCTCCTGCACTTGTAGTTGTTGCACACTACCCCCTTTCTTACTTCAAGCTAGCGACAATCGGCGCACACAGATATCAAGAATCTTGATGACGCTATTGGAGATCCGTTCCGCATGAAGCGCAACCCACAAGAGAGCTTGAGGGACTGCTACTCGCTGATTCAAGTCCTCGACCAAGAGTTCGATGGGTGCGCACTACTTGCTAGTCTCTACTACGACGTCTTCCAGACCAGCATTGCGCATAGGGATCAGGCACGCGTGAGTATATTTGCAGAGAGAGCCTATAAAGCTAGGGTGATTTGTGAAGGCGAGGATCGCCCCGAAACGCGCTGAGAGTGAAATCTCTTGCGTTGAAACCAGCCGCTCATAGTGGCTTTGAAGTATATTCTAGGAAGTGGAAAAGCGCGAGGCATTCGATACCGAAGGGTCTAGATACGGTCGAGTTTGACGAGTATTTGTTCAGACAGAAGAATTAAGCAATGTGCCTTTCGTATTGGTGTTATTCTGAAGGTGTACGGACCTGTAATGAAGTATACAATGGTATTCAGGCTACCGTCTGATCTTTTTTCTCCTCAAGACCAAAATGATCGTTTTGCAAGTCATACTAGCACGACATGCGATTTCCAATTGTCGATGCAAAGCTGAGGCGGGTTGAAAACACTTGTGCTCGCCATCGTTGTGCCTTCATTATGTCTCTTGGGAAGTGTTTGGGAGTGGTGATAGCATATTAGTATTGTATTAAAGCTTGAATGTCTATAGGATTGATCTGTAGTCAATCCTATCACGTGTTCGAGAGGTAGTGAAAACTTAATGGTGTTGTTGTATATCAAAGGGGTATCTTATTTTAGTACAAAAGGATACCCTAGGTAAATTCAAAAGGTAGGTAGCAACGATGCAATAAATAAACTGCGAAACGAGAAGTAGACTTCATATCTCTTGTCTACCTGGCGAAATTCTCATTCATTATGGGGATTATTTCACTTCTCTTCCCAATCACAAACGAGATCGTCTCCCAGCACTATCAAAATCAACAGCAAAAATCGTAAAAAAGAACATACAACAGTAGGGATTCGCTGGTGGTCACCCACCCAACTACTAATCTACCGATCTGAGGCTTGTGTATGGCAGAGCGGACGGGATGCCCAATTCTCCTCAGTCTATGGTCGTATGTGACAGGAACCGCTTCAACTAAAACTATAAACCATTTGTTTTAAAGTCACCGTTTCGAATCCAGACCCCCACGCCCAAGCAACAAGCGAAATGAATGACCAACGAATACTGCTCACTGAAACATAGTTCGATTGAAGGATACAATCCCAATAAACCGTGATTGCATCCAAATCAATATTGGTTTTCATTACATACAGGATATGATATGAAAACAGTTGAAAGCGTGGGTTGACGAACAATAGCTCTACGATATGAGACCACTTTTGAGCCAAGACTCGTTGGCCGACGGGCAATGCGTGCTTGTTTGAATGTGTGCCCCGTAAATTTATGCAAGTGGATAAGAAAAGTTGGGGGTGGGTGTTCTTATCGGGTTGGGGGAAATGGTTTTCGAAACAACAGACTGAGGATGGTTAAATAGTAGAAGTACTGAAAAATGAGAGATCACTTGAGTGTTTCGAAGAGCAAGCATACAACTCACAGGCAAATGTGACAGTCTGGTGTAGTGCATTGTACCTCCTTCCCACAGTTGGAATCGCATTTCACCTCCAGATATCTTGTATGGCATTGCCAATAGCTAGTCCAATAGTGTTGACTTATCGCGCCATGTCATGAGCAATGAGTATATGCCTAGTGGGTCCAAACAAGTGAATCTCTTTTCAATGTTACCAATTCCTTTGATACTCAATATCTCAGATATCCCATTCCCAAAGGAAGATTTACCCATGATCCTTTTTCCCTAGGCTGGTTATTATATTGGTAATGTTCCCTAGATCTTTAGGGCCATTCTGCCATATTGCCACGATTCTTCATGTTGAATACATCCCACTTGTTCAAAGCATACATAATCATATGAAATCGGGAAAGCTGTTTACTTATGATAGCAGCTGCTTGCGACCAAACTAGCGTCGTTCTTTCATATGTGCTGTACTGAACGTTCCATGGATACAAGGATGGATGAAGAACTGCTTAGTTACCTCGCCTTCAATGGCTTTCATACCACCAGTCTAATTCAAAAGATCATTCCATTGTCCAAGACTTCTACATCCACGCTGTAGGAGGCTTACTCAAGCCATATCCAATTTCCTTTGGGCTCAGATGTAGATCTCTACTTCTCTTCTTCAAGAAACTTCTCGCAGTATTCTATTTGGAATACTTACGGAAGAAAACGGCTTCTGCTCATCACCCCAGTCATAGCCTCAGGGTCGAACACTCATTCGTCACCTAATACATGAACGGGGTAGATCTATTTGAGGAGAAATCCTGCAAAGACTCAAGTCTCTAGACATAACATAGCTAGGCCAGACTATAGCGATATATGTTGAGATGGAACTCTATCGCCGAAGCCGAAGGAGTAGAGTAGCGGAACTGCGACTTCACAGTACAATAAGCCAAACAAGTAGATAACAGCCGACAAACAACCGTAATACCATGAGTTCCATCCAGATTGATAATGAATATCTTCATATTGGTGACAATGGGCCGAGAACACTTGATAGAGGCCACTAGACCTTCAACACTTCGGCGATTAGAGGAAAGCTGCGACGAAGAGAAAGAAATGGAAGGGTAATCGCGTCATAAAAGCTTAGAAGCAGCTGAGGACATCCCATTTATTTGAATATTTGAGTTCATTGTAGCCAAGACCTCCTCGGACTATGCCATTCTCTCATTAAAGCGATACTTTCACCCGATAATTCTCCTGCCCCTCAGAGTAAACTCCGAAACGACTAGGACTGATTCTGACCAGCATTGTAAGCACGAGGATGTATTTGACGACACTCGCTACATCGACTGCACGATGATAACACGGGCAACTCCTTTTGGCATCCTTGGCCGTGTGTTCGGATGGGCTTCGTGGGAGGAAATGTGAGGAAATGAACCAGATGGGAAATATTCTGGAACAATGGATACAACGCCATCCAACATTCAACGTCCAGAATATTGGGATAAAAACAAAAGTAATTCCAGTTGGATGTAATCATGAGTGAGATCCCAAGGAGTATCTTAAAGCATATACTCATTATATATCATTACAGAAAATCAATACCTCCTGCCCGCGCGGGGAATGAATCGGTCAATTTGATGTTCTAGAGAGTTATTGTTGCATTCATTATTATTGTTTATCAGAGCCGATAAGGAAACTCTCAGGGTCACCTAGTACCACCAATAGGCCTGGCTCCTAAAGTCGTCCCCCCCTTCCTTCGATGGATCCTCAGAATTTCCAAACTTCGATTACTTCCAATGATTTCTTTAATGGAGGTGCAATTGACTTGCAACTACCTCAACAATTGATCGACCATCCCATTCAACCAGGTCCAAGATCCTACAAGTCGCGCAAGTATCGACCTTGTGATTTTTGTCGAGCCCGTCAAGTAAGATGTTCGATATCTTCCGCCCCGCCCTGTTAATTGTGCATATCTCATGGGAGAAGTTGCACATTCGTCGATCGGCCAAAGAAGAAGAGAAGGCCAAATCTTGCAGCAAGCAATGGTGATCAGAGTAGTGAATCAACAACATCTACTTGTATGTAACAGCACATTACACAATCATGCAAAGGTCGTGTGTATACCATGAGAGAGATTCGCTGACTTATATGTCTGTGAAGCTACTGCTCCTTTGCAACAATATGATGTCTCGGCGGCCCAACTTAGTCCCAGCTTCATCAGCCAATATAGCGAGCATAGCTTCCAAAGTTTGAGCGGACATGATGTCTTGACTGAATCGACTTCGTCTCCAGATCAACAGATCCTCGTCCAAGATGGTTCGCCTATATATAATTTGGATCCTTACTTGAACATGATGCAAAGCACACGAATAAGGCCCCTCGATTTTCAGCATTCTACAAAATCGGCAAGATTTGTTGGGGAAATGGGTGAATCAAATCCATACCTGCTGCGTCATTACCGCTATAATGAAAATGATGAATGCACAATATCAAAGTTAACATACCGGCGAATCAAGAACTCCTCAGCACAAAATAATTTTTCGACCTAGAAAGGAGAACCTCCTGTGGTATTTATGCTAGCAGATGATAGTTTTGCGCAGAAAGGGGAGCCAAGGATAAACGATGATATTCTCCGTAAAGTCGAATCAGATCTAAGGGGCATGTTCACAGACCAAGAAGCCCTTCGTCTTATAGGTCTTTTCTTCCGATTTGTATACCCTTATTTTCCTATTCTATCCAAAAGCCAAGTCTTTCAATCACCAGCAGTACTTTCCCCTGCGATTCTGCATACGTTACCATTTTCTCTGTTGTCGGCAATATACGCTACAGCCCTGCCATTCATGTTGTATGATGATTTCCTCGCTACAACTCTTATACATTCACCTCCGACGTCACATGAACTATTTCGTTTGTCCTGGCTCTTCATTCAACAGGAATTACACATTCCACGACTTGCAACAGTACAAGCGTGTTTATTGTTACTACAGAGAGCTCCCACAAATCGTTATACAACCGATACACCTTGGAAAACAAGTCTTGTGGGATGGACAGTGAGTCTTGCTCAGATTCTGGGTTTGATGAAGGAATGTAGTGATTGGAGTAGTATACCAGTCTGGGAAATGAATTTGAGAAAAAGACTATGGTATGGAGTTTATGCTATGGATAAGTGGGCATCTCTGGGAGCAGGAATGCCAAGTCACATACACGCTGATGATTTCGACGTCCTTCCGCTTGAAGACAACGATCTTGAACCATCAACCCCCGATCCCAATCAGCCCATCACAGAATCAGAACCCGATTCAGAACACTTTCGGCTACTGACCGAGCTGACCGCTATTCTCAGCGACATTGTCGATTCCTATTATACGTTGCGAGCAACACAACGCACATCGAAAGATTTTTCACTATCCCTCGAACTAGCAAGACCACTTCGCACACGGCTCAAGGCTTGGAACGATTCATTACCTCCTTCTATGTCTCTCCATCAAACAGAGCATTTAGATTCCCACGGTCTAGCGCAATTAAGTGGAAACCCATCACTTTCACTCGCCTATATTATCGCAACTATGACATTATTTCAAGCTCTTCTCCGACCTCTCGAAAACTTAACAAGCGTAGAGGAGGACGCAACAATAGGTAGTCGTCTAGCTGTGCGAGCCGGGGCGAGAGAATGCGCTAAGGAGGTCGTCGAATTCGTAGAAAATCTTGGGAGGGGAGCTTTAGATGCCTTTTGGCATTCTTGTAAGTTTCCATCACCTTCCTACCTATAATCGCTAATTGAATATCAGGGTCTCGTGCGAACTTTGCAATAGCATCATCGTTTCTCATGCAACTACTCGTCACATCCGAAAACGAAACCGAATCAGCAGAGATCCACGAGCTTGTGACTCGTTGGAGATGGGCTATGAGAATTGGTAGTGGTAATGCTGGTAATGGAATTATGAGTTTGGGCTTGCTGAGATTGGATGGGTTGCTATTGAAGAATGGTAGCGCCGAGGCGGGTGTATGAATTCTGGAGACTGGCCAGGATAATTTAATGTGGCTGTTTTGAGGAAATTTTGGACCGGATCTATCTCATACATATCATAATATCCGAGAATGTCATAGATTGTACTGATATACTCGGAAATAACACGAGGGTTTTCATGGTAGTAATTCGCTTGGTGTTTCGGGAGTTGAGGAGGAAACAGACGGAAAAATGAAAAGAGGCGAAGAGAAATTGGAAAGGGGAGAAGCTACGGTTCAAATATAGGCGCAGTGGTACACAAGGGAAAGTGTCTTGCAGTCGTGACCAAAGGACCAGGGGGATAAATAAAATCCTCGTTTGTTCCTGAGATGGTGGGATTACTAAAACAAGTACCAGAATGAAATACCACAACTTTATATCTGCCACCAAGTACAGATCTCTCATCTCTCAATCCTCAGGCCATTTACTCTTTCCTATCTTTCTTCTTCTCATGACCATTCTCTCCTTTCCCATCTCTTTCCTCTTCTTCCTTCTCCCTCTTTCTCTTTTGAATAGCTTCAGGAGGACTATCTTCAATCAAATCACTCTTATCATTCAAACCCGTCCATTTAGGTAATCCATCAGGAATATCTACTAGACGTCTTGAATAGAACATATGACATCTACACCACAATCATCAATTAGCAATTGCTTCATTTCATCCTCGCCAAATTTTCCCTTCCAAAATAGAAAGACCATAACAACGTTTTGAGGCCGAGGGATAAATAATCAAAAGAGAAAACTAACGTAGGATTAAACTTCTCTTTCTCCTCTGGATTCTTGAATTTAATCAAGCTCGGGAAAAGCAATATCATATTTCTTCCCTCGTCCATGATGGGCGTACGACAGTATGCACAGCTTACTTTGCAGGGAAGCTTGTGACGGGTAGTTTTCTCTTCAGATTCGTACCTAGTTGGGGTGTTAATTGGTGGATAGAATCATCGAGTAAAGATAATGGAGAGGTTTTGAGCAAGGGAAAAGAAAAGAAAAGAGAGCAATTGGAGGAATTGAGAGATTCATGTACTCACCAACCTAGATCATGATGCCCATGAGTGAAATTGATATCTTCTTTATGGAAAATCGCAGCCCATTGAAATGGTGCTCCTGTCGATTCATTGAATTAGCATTTTTCTCATTTTCATCCCCCTCCCAGCCTATCTCATGACCACCATCCTCTCACACCTCTCACACCTCTCCTTATCTCTTCATCTCCCTCCCCCAAGCCAAAACCTAACCCCCCCAAAAACTCACCATGCAAAACCTGACAAGTCGTACAATGACAAAACTTCGCACTCAAAGGCCTCTCCCTACTCAACTGATACTTGACCCGTCCACAATGACAACCGCCCTCATACAGCACTTTAAAATTGTCATCGTTTTCATGCACTTTATACGGGACTCTGAATTTCCACTCATTGTGGTCGCCTTCGATATCCTCGTCTTTGTGGCCTTGAGATCGGGCTTCATTTATGGCGTTGGAGGTGGACTTGTCTGAGGAAGGGGACATCTTGAGGGTGTGGTAGGATTGAGAGTGAGGGTGAGAGTGAGTGTAGGATGGGTGTTGATGGGGATAAGAGGAAGATACGGGGCGTGATTGGAATGAGAATGGGAATGCAAGGTAGATGGAAGATGATTGAGAAAGAAGAAGATTGTTGACGTTGATTCTACGTCTTAAAAGCATCTAATTGTTGACAAACATTTAATAGTATTATACATGGAAAGAACAGCAAAAGCAAAGAAGCAAAATAGCACCAACCCATTTTAGGGATATTTAAAATGATATTTACTGTCTCATTAACCTTTCGAATTCCTTGCTAGGTACATACCTACTACATACAAGTTGCCTAGTAGCTATGATTTCTTCTTCATATTCATATCGTCATTTGTTGCATCTATGATGGAAACACTTTTTATACTGCGGGGAATGTACCTGAATAGTGGGGCAACGTGTAAAGGACCACCAGCCAACCGAGCTAGGCTTGTACATCATGACGTGCGCTACTTTAGGTAGTCCTCGCAGAACTATTCATCACGTGTCCATTCCCAAACCACACAAAATACTAGATCATTGGTGGCACATATCCCATACCCCATATGTCATATCCCATATCTTGAGCTGGTAACCTCTAAGGGGGGTGGAGAGTTAACCTTTCAGCTCCTGGCATTTTAATACTCGACTCACGGTAAAGTATAATAATCTATGTCTTTTTACGTTGTGCGTTGGAACTTCTAGCCTAGAATGTCGATGAAGCTAATCAACGGCCCCCATGAGTTCCCGGTCCCGATGAAACTATCTGTTGACTAGTCTTTGGATCGAAACCCAGAACATTGACGAGATAATCAAGCCTGAATATCAATTAGTGTCGGTAACTGTAATGTCGTGACGACCGATTAAGAGCTAGAGAAAAAGCTTACCTTGCTTCTGACCCAAGCTTTTCTTTCAAATCTTTGAAGTTCTGTAAACATTCCTCCCATTTAACGGCACGCTTCTGGGGAGAAATTGATTTAATAACCATGTGAAATAATCCAGTTACGGGTCTATGATCAGACACTCGAACTTCATGTCGACGGTAATCGAGCTGCTCCACACGATTGTGTCCACGGTAAAGTAATCGATCACACCAAGCGGGTGCTCTTTTCTTCTCGCTCGTGTCATAATTGTCAGTTCCTACATCGTATTTATAGGTCGGTGCGAAAGTGATGGGTAGTTCGTGAAAAGCGCGTAATCGAAACCAAGGATTTTTGCGTTTTGAGGCCAGAAGTTGGTCTCGCTCGAGGAGTTTTGCCAGATTGTTGGCTTTTACTGCATTAACCACAGTATCTCTGCCCATTGTATCGATACGGTAGTTCAAATCACCATTCAAAATGCAGATTTCATGATCAAGGATCATTGTACCATCACCGCCACCCACAAAACTATCTATACGGACACTGTGATCGCGTTCTGCAGGCAGAACCTGGCTCTCGAGGATCGTGCTTATGTCTGTGTTTCTATCTTTCGTTTGTGTTTGTCCAGCAGCAAGATGACAATTGATAAAGCACATCGATGTATCATCCAGCATAAATCGAAGAATCAATGCGCCCTAGTGTACGTCAGGAAACTCATATCACTAGCAGGAAATTTTGCGAACTCTTACCTTGTTCCCATGGAGTCCACCCATACCCCTCTTGATTTCAGCGGCATTGATATTCTTAATCCGTGGTAGAAGTGGAGATCGAACAAATACGCATGTGAATAGACCAACTAGATTTGCGGTGTGAAGCAAGTGGTATATTTCGCCCTGAACATAATCATCCAAGCATCGGGTAAGAAAGTCTCGCCAATTTCGATATTGGTGGCTCATGTGTTCATGATCAGAATCCTTCTCCTTCTTCTTCGACTTGAAAAAACTTTCTACCCACCAGTTAGAAGTGTTTGTAGAAGTTAGCAGCGTACTTACTAGCGGTAGTCTTTTTGTCTTCTAGATCAACCAATTCCTGGAATCCGAAGACTAATATATCTGGTCGATCGCTGTCTTGAAGAAGTTGGGGCAAGAACCTCGAATCCTGATCAGATTGCTGAAGATGATATGGAGTAGATGCGCCCGCGTTCCAAGTCATAACTAAAGTCTTGATTGGGGTAAGTTTGCAGAAATCTGCTTCTTGAGATTGCATCTGTTGCTCCATCCAATCATCCTGAAGCAGACCATCCCATGCTCGTACCATATTGTCCTGGCCCAAGGAAATGACATGTTCCCGATCAAGCATCCAAAAGCTGCTACGGTCAACAAATAGACCGATAAGTGGATCATGATGAGCACGCCAGTCCTTCCTTACGACCCATGGAGTATGAGTAGTATCGTATACAAATACCATACCCGTACTGAAGCCAGCCCAAAGATTACTACCTACACCCACAAGAGATGTGATTTTATAAACGCTGATATTTACTACTCCTAGGCATGCATAATCATGTCGAGAATATATGCTTACTTTTCCATCAACATGACCAAAGTATATCCGGTCAGGCTGGGAACTTATGACAGCACCCGATGTTATTTCACCTGCATCTGGTTGATGAATGGGGCGTTGTAAAACCTGAAACTGAGAGCTTCCATCTAGTGTGGGGATGAAAATCCGTATATCTTTGCCTGCTGCGTGCCACAATTCACCATCAACAACCAGCGAAAATGTATGACCCTTCGGAAGTCGATAGCTCTGGGATGGGTTGTTGGTCAAATTAGGTTCACCAGTGTCGTCTGAAGCCCACAAATGCAATGATCCACCATCATCAAGTGTCCACAATTCGTTTAAATGTCGATAAATTTTAATTATTTCACGACGAGTATGGGCGTTGGACTTGCTCGCAACAATGCTTCCGCTTGAAATGTCAACCTCAACCAAATCTCCAATATTGTTACCTAACCATAGCTTTGTGCCCTCGTTTTGTATTTCCGCTGCTGGCTTGAAAGCTACAGAGACGACTTTAATTCCCTCGGTTTGGGCTAAGCTCATAACTACACCTCCGTCTAGTAGACTCCAAACCCTAGTTACGTGACCAGTGGTGCATACGTATTCTCCGCAAACGTCTAAAATGCGAGTATCATACTTTGTTGATATTTCGTATGCTCCTTTAGTAAAATATGGAGGTCTACGGTTTGAATGAGAGGTATCCGGATATTCGCCTGCCTTGAAAGATAGGCCTTCCCTGATGACTGGAGTGGAGGGCACATCACTCGAAGGACGATGGTCGGTTCTAGTTGACACAGACGCTACTGGAGTTCTGAACTCAGCCGGCGTTCTATCGCTAGTCCTATCAACCGTCATGGATCTACCATGAGATCTAGGCGGAGTCTGTAATTGGGCCGTAGGGTTTGAAAGAACTCTTTTTGGAGGGGTCGCGAAATTTGGTCCATTGTCGACCGGCATAGCATTAGTCACTGGCGGTCTTGATCTATCAACGGAAGGCCGAGGAGGTGGTGGCATTGGCCGGCTAGGTAACGCAGGCCTTCGGTCTCCTCCCG